TTTGCAGAAGATATCCTTAGTAAATTCAATGAGACAGCCAGTTACTGAGTGCTTAGCACAGGTAAAATCATTTGACCAGGCTTGTGGAGAATGAATTGGACAGGATACAGTGGAGGTAAAGAGATTAGAAATCCACTGCAATATTCCAAGACAAGCTAAATATTTACCGAGCTTTGTGACGCCTGTGCTTCTGCTGTTCCAGTCCTGCTTAGTTTTGGGGTGGGGCTTGTGGGGCAAAGCTGGTATTTGAGTTGTTCTGGCAAATTCTTCTGAGTGACAATGTTTACTTTGTTTTTCTGCATCACCTTTCCTCTTCTTTCTTTGGTTAACCAATTCAACAAGAAAAACTTGAAACGACTTACAATCTAGTTGGGAAACAAAATACTGACATGGGAAAAGTAATAGCAAACTATTAAAGCAGGAGAGGACTTATCAGAATGTGACTTGAGGTTAATATCCAAATGAATGGAATGGCAATTAATGCCAGAGTTTCATGAGACTAAGAGGCAGCCCTGGGCTGGGTACCTCGGGAAATTTTCACGGAGAGCTTGGTGCTGAATTATCGGCAGAGAGCTAGAAAGAAAAAGGAAGACATTCACGGAAAGACGAATTCCAAGAAAGGCAGGGTTGCAAATAAAAAAATGTCTCATTTTTCTTATCTTTCGTTTTATCCCTCGTCCTCTTGTCTTCAGAGTGCAGAGCTGTCAGAGTGATGGGCAGGGTGAAGAGGTGTTATCTCTGAGTGGGGGAAGCTGTTTCACTTCCTTTTCCCCATTCCTCAAGGCTTAGCCAGGCATGAAATGCTTGTCCAGCATGCTGAGTTACTACCTGTGTCCAAGCCTGGTCTAAGTTCATGGTAAAGACCCACTTAAGTTTCAAACGGGAGCTATAATTAAGTTTATTTTACATTTTAATTCTAAAGTTCATAGGAATGCGATTTCTTTCAGGAATGTTGTACCAATGGAAGATATCTGTATATTCTTTAAATCGCTCTAAAAGTCATGAGGAAAAATTAAAGTGCATTACAACAAGGATGAGTTGCAGAGAGAAGCTTGCAACTAAGTGCAGATCAGTTAGCAGTACTGATTGGAGTGATATACAGACATATTCATTTATTATATATAATATATGATATTCAAATAAATGAATATAGCAACCCAAATAAATGAATATATAATAAATTCACTTATATATTCATTTATTTTATATTTATATATACATTCATTTACATATAAATATATATATATAGATCATCAATATATATTCATTTATTCCTTGCAACAAATCATCTCAGTTCTGTAGACAGAAAACTATGGCAGAGGGAGATAAACGTGCCCAATGCCCCACCAGTGGAAAATGCTGAAGCCGGTAATCAAACCGAGGTCATCTGACTCCCAGGCTGTCGCCACAAAATTCCTTGAGAAGTTATGTAATTGATCTGGTTCCTTGTCTGTGAAATCTGGGAGGGTTGACTTAGATAATCTTGACATCTGCCCTCCTGTTAAAGATTAAATGGTGGGTTCACAGCCTCAATTTCCACTTCTTGAATGGGACTCCAGTTTGCAGCCCCCTGTGCTCGTGTCCAAAGGGATTCGCTCTCCCTTCAGAGAAGCACTGACAAGGATTGTTCGGGGTTTTTGAATGACTTCAAGAGGATCAGATTGCAGGTCAGCGATGAGCAACTCCTGACTCAGATTCGCAGTCCTCCTGAGTTTCCCACGTGATAGAGGACCTGTTTGCAGTGTGCGAGGAGAAAATCGCCCTGCGTGATGGCAAACGTTAACGTATTAGAAACCAAGGAATCTAAATTGAGTGAATATGCCTGCTGTCATGAAGACCAAGTGAACTATTCTCATATTGAATTTTTTAAGTGGCCTGTACGCAGTTTTTTTCTGAATGGGCCCAGAGGAGAAAGATAATTTCTGTCCTTTGCACTAGTTCATGACCTATGTGTCACCAGCCTTGTAAGACATCGGTAGTATCTTTCCCAGCTACTTCAGAATCTGAGTGACCATGGGCACCAGAACAGGAAGCAAAGAGGCCGGGGGTGGGGGCGGCTGAAGAGGGCAAAGGGAAATAAATGGTAACAGAAGGAGACTTGACTTTAAGTGGTGAGTGCACGATACAGTATACAGATGATGTGTTATAGAACTGTACACCTGAAGCCTGTATAATTTTGGTAACCAATCTCACCCCAATAAATTCAATAAAATTTTAAAAGAAAGAGAGGTAGCCCTGGCCAGTTTGGCTCAGTCAGTTGGAACATCTTCCCATGGACCAAAAGTGCCACAGTACCTCGACAGGGCACGTGCCCCGGCGGCTGATTCAATCCCTGGTGAGGGAGCATAGGGGAGGCAGCCAGTCAATGTGTCTCTGACATCGATGTGTGTGTGTCTCTCTCTCTTTCTCCCTCTCTCTCTAAAAGCAATGAAAAAATGTCCTTGGACGAAGATAAAAAATGTTTTTAATTAAAAAGTAAAAGGAAGAGAGGGAAGGCTGGGTTTAGAAGCAGAATGAAACCCTGCTGGTTCATCAGGAGTTCCCTGTCTCAGTTCTGAGCAGAATAATTTCAAACCAGCCCCGAGGTCCATTGTGATTTACACCTTCTGCGAATGAGTATGCAGCAGCGGCCCTGGGAGCAGCCTCTTGCACTGCCTCCAATGCAAAAGAGAACGTGGGGATGAGAGCAAAAATCACCCTCCACTACCACTTCCTCTATTTGGATCTCAGGGAAGGAAGTTTACTCTCTGAGCCCTTTTCTTAAGTCAACATGATGCAATAACTGAAATATCTTAGGGACAAGGCTTCACAATGCGGAACTGGATGCAAGGGTTAAAATGCAAAGTCCCCTGAAGGAAGCAGCACACTGCTAGGACTTGAGGAAAATGCAAATGAGAGAGGAGAGGGCAGAGAGTTTTCTAGCTGAGACCCCAGAAGGAGGAGAGAGGACAGAACTGGGGCAGAGATCTAAGGACGAACATTTCATACGTAACTAGTTTTGGTTTACTAAACTAAAAAGATTCCATGTGTTTAGTGTTTTCTTTCTTGATTAACAGTGAAAAGGCAGCCAAAGGAGTCATTGATTGGGTCTGTAACAAGTCTAGAATATTCTTCACTTCATAGTCCAAGTTCTCACAATACATAGGAAACATCTAAATTTAGAAAAAAAGAACACACATGTTTTCCCTTTTTAAGGCACACATTAATCACTGGGAAGCTATCTATGGGGAAGAACACTGGAGGTGGGGTTGGGTGTTTGGGGATAGGGGGTCTCCTTTCAGGATAGCCCCTCATTTTGTCTCGGCAACATGGGAATAAGAGGAGAACGGACAGAGCCGTGGCCTTGGAATTCAGGGATGTGTCGCCGAGTGTGGGAGGCAGGAGCCAAGGAGCAGGATGGTCTCCCCTGGAGGCTGGTAAAATGAAGTCCTGAAGTTTGAAGCTTCACAGTGCCTTGGTATTTTCTCCGTTAGTCCTTGTCTTTCTTCCTAGTTTCCTTTTATTTATTTTCCCTTAGCAACCTACACAAAGTCTAATGCATTTCCATCACCTTTACACTTTTTTTTTCTGTTCTGTGTATGAGTTAGCCTTTAATATTTAAAGATATTTAAAGGTAGTTCCTTTCTTCCATTATATTAGCTTTGGAAAACATTTTTTTTTTTTGCCCTCCCAACTCCCCTTCCCTTACCACTGAATGGTTCCTCTGGGCATGCTGGGGGGAGACATTCTGCTTGCAGTTGTTTTTGGTTCTTTCTCTCTTCCCTCCCTCCCCCCTTCCTTCCTTCCTCCCTCCCTCCCTCCCTCCCTCCCTTCCTTCCTTCCTCCCTTCCTTCCTCCTCTCTTTTTCTGAATGGCAGGATCTTTCTGTTGGTCTGAAACACTGATGGTTATGAAATTAAATAGAGAGAGTTTGGATCTGGGAGACTCCTAGGCCATGGATGAACATACTACATTTGATAGCAGTTTCTGACTTCACCCAAAAGCTAAGAAACAAAGTGAAAATATTGGTAAAACGTAAATGCATGCCAAACACCACATATAGGGATGGATAATGGTTATGTATGGCACTGATAATTCAATGAAAGGGAGGGGAGCAAAGACACATTTAAATTAGTCTTTTAAAATGTACCTGCTGGAGAAGAATTTGAGTTTCAACATGATTCATGAACAATGACTGGATTTAGTTGTCGTACCTACATACATCATTCTAAACATATTACTTGCAGCTAGACGGCTACAGAACTTTGAGGAGTTAAATCCAAAATAAAAATACATGTGAGCCCACCTGCATATTTGGTCTTTTGGCTAATATGTTACATCATCAGTCTCTTCCTGTTCACCTGTTAGCATTCAGGAAGATTCCACAGGGGTCTTGTCTTCAGAAGCTCACCTTAATAAGCACAAAAGATAAATAGATGTCATATTTGATTTATTTAGCTTTTCATCATATTTTGAAATAGAGGACACATATCTATAATTATCTAAATTTCTAATAGTTTCATCTTAGCTGAAAGTCCTAACAAGGCTCGAACAGATCATTGAGTATGGGTTTCCGCTTTCATGGTGACAGTTTGTCTGGAGTGAATAAATCACTGCAGAGTCTATCTTGTCTCCTCTGCTTAGCCTGGGAAAAAATGAGAGTCTCAATATACCACTTTCCACACAGAGAGAAACATATTCTCAGTGGGAATGTAAAGAATAGAGAAACTCAGATGTTAATTTAAGTGTTACACAGATTGGGACAGACACAAGGACTTGGAGAACAATTCCACGTTCTTCCATGGGGAAGAGACGCCTGCCCTATAATCTCGAAGTTAGTTTCAGTGAATCTACGTGGTGCGGTACTGATGTGAATCAGCTTTTTCTAAATCTTGAGTAATAAGGAAAACGAACAAGTCGGGTGGAGCTCAGAAGTAAACAGAAAATACTTCGCATGTACGTAGCGTGATTTGGACTGGTATCAGCTCTGAGGGAGGAGGGGACCTGTTTGTAAACAATTTGCAAACAAAGCAGAGTAAACGGTGTACTGGAAGTCTACAAGTCAGTTGTGTGGAATTAACATTTTTATTTTAAAAGAAATAGAAAGCAGAATTGCTTGATTTCTCGTGTCCTTGAAGTTCTTTCTTGTCGCTGGAACAGCCAAGTTATCCATCTACTGCGGAATTCTGTACACTAGGGTGGAGTGTAGACTTGGTGCTTTGTAGAGTGTTCTGCTGGGCTGTCTTCGGGACGTGACATTCTGACTCTGTGTGAGTCCTGACCAGTTTCTCAGCACCTCCAGGGCCCTGGTTTGCCCCAGCAGCATAGTAAGTGCTTACTTGCAAAAATGTCCACGCAGGAAAATTTGTGTGAAACAACCACTTAGAGATAATTCATAAACGTGTTTTAGAGTTACAAGGATTCTTTATATTAAGAAATACATTTTAAAGTTTTGCTTTTCACATGGACTATTAAAGTGTCTTCATAACCCCCCAGCCTTTAGTGCCTCCTCTTCTTCCTCGGGTTGAATTTATGATAAGTACCTGTAGGGTTGCCTTCAGAATTTGAATAAATTCCCGCAAACTGTCTAATGGTTCCTGCAGGGTAGGCTGAACTTCCTCTCACATACAGCATATGATGTTTTCACTGATCTGTTTGGTGATTCCAGGTTTATTACCCTAATTATGAGCTAATGAGCACACAGCTTTGCAAGGAAATTTGCATTACTTGCTTAAGTAGGACAAATGATCAGCTTAACCAAGATAAAACATCTCTTATTGTTTGAGACCCTTAACTCACCAAAAGAGATGCCTATCATTTAGCCAAGTTAAATCAGCCTGCAGAGAAGTGTGCTCACTGCTATCTTGAAAACAGTAACTACTGCAATGTTAAGGAGTTTGCTGAAGAGGGTCCAAACAATCCCTTTCAATTCCTATTTTCTTTTAGCACCTCTATCCCCGTCCCCTACTACTGAAATGAAAGAAGTGACCAATCTCCTTGCAACCAAAACAGGAGTGCAGGAGCAATTTCACATAAGAAAATACAGCACAGGTGCAGACTTTTTACATCAAATGTTAAGTTTTCTTCTCTTCACAAAGTGCCAATTATTGCATTTTAATGTATTTTGCTCTTGGAGCCAGAAAAAAATAGAGCTGTACATTTTATTTTCATGTCTCTTTCCTTTATCTTGTCATATACAGAGAAACAACTTTGGGATTTGTTTTGAAGTTAGATAATCCTGACTTTCATAAATAAGTTAAAGGCCTTAATTTGAGCATTCCTTTCCTCTTTGCAAGGACATCCTTCTTATATTAAGTATTATTTTGAGAATTTTCTGAGAAATGATGCAAATTCTAACATAAGGGGACCGCCAGGATGTCCCCGAGAGAGAAAGTAGGAAAGGTGAGTCGGCAAATCAGTCAGCTAAATTAACTAGTTGTTTCAGAAGACGTGGGCTCTTTACCCATCACATTATGCCTCGTTAGCTCCATTAGTTGCTTGACATTGTCATTATTCTACCTACTTCTCTCTGTGCAGTTTTACCGTGTCAGCTTTGATTTCCCCTGTACTTATTTTTTTTCCAACTTAAAGCTATTATATCACCTTCCAGGAGCATTGATTTTTCGTCAGGTGTCACCAATTTCCCACTCATCATTTCCTCGCAAGCATAAAACTGACGACTGCTGCTAATGCTGCAGCCTTTCATTATTTCAGAGTTAATCACTTATTCCTATCAGCCAGTTCCAGCGCCCGCCTCCCCTATTAAACTCGATGTGTAATTGTCAAATGTGTTAATTGACAAACATTGAAATAACTTCCCATCTCTGTGGTTTGATACAAATAAATCACTAAGAGGGCGAGGAAGAGGTAGATGAGAGAAGCGTTTGTTTAAAACAGGCAGACGTTTGTAGGGCACCTAGTATTTGTCCAGATGGTAATAGATGAGGGTGGAGGGGTGACGGAAATCTAAAATGTCATCCCTCCTAACCCCCACGGTACTTAAAATCTTGCTGTGTGAAGCAGTTTTGAAAGGTTTAGAAGCTGGACTCTAAAGTTCACAGTCTTCCTGCTTTAGCTTAGTTTTAACCTGGCTGATGACTTTCATAATTTAGGAAACGCCAGTAACCACTGATGGAGTTCTGTTTTTGCTTTATGTGTGTATGTGTTTTCACAATGTAAGCAGCAATGATTTTTAGAATTTCAAACAACATATTGACATTTTAGACGCAAACAATAGAAAGTGTTGCAAGTTGAAATTTGAGTGTAGTTCTCACGAGAGGAACTTACAGGCCCCTACGAAAATAAATATAGCACATCTCTTAAAAATTGGTGTATACACATTGCTTCATTAATTTATTTGGATTGAATAATTTTTTATTGAACAATTTTTTTATTTCTCTAGAGAAATAAAAGCTAAAATTAGCAATGTTTCTTAGTATCACTCTTTCTCAATAGTCTCTGTCTTAACGAGCATACAGACCATCACTTCTTAAGATGATGTAAATTCACAGGACACAGCCACACAGAGGGCATGGCATATGTAGACAGTATTTCTAAGGAGGGCATAGATATTATAAATAGTCACTTCACTTTGTCAAATGTTATACATCACCAGGTTGGAAATGGTGACAATGGTGATTTCAGGGAAAAAGAGTGAGGATCGTGGCCAGAAGGAATTTCTATCATGATCCATTAAAATTCAGATATTTTAAGCTTCTTTTTGAGAAGCTTAAAGTGGTAAAGAATACTCTTTGAGGATGTAACATATATAAACTAATACCAGAAGAGAAAATGTTATTTCTCCAAAGCATAAGAGGTTGGATCACAAATGCTGACCACACCAACCCAAAGACTCATAAAACTGCATGATCTTCAACTGGCAAGCCACCTGTCTATCTCTTTAAAATAATTTCTTCTGTCATTTCCAACTTTTTATGTCATTAGGGTCATTTCCAACTTTTTATTGATGTTCATCCTGCTTCTCTTTTTAAAAGGCAGGCAGCCAGCATAGAGAGAGAACATCAAGGTAGTAGAGTTGTGGTCTGAATACAAATCCCGTATTTCCCTCCCTGGGCAGGTAGCAGCCTCATTCTCTACAGTGAAATAATTCTAAATTCTAATTCTAAATGTGAATAATTCTAAAGGCCAAATTTACCCATACCATAGGAATGTTGTTAAAATAAAACAAGGTAATGGGTGTGAAAGTACACTGAGGAAAAACACTTTTATCCAAATGCCAAGTGATATTCTATTCTCTCTACAATTCGTGAACTTCTGCTTTTCTACATTTCCAAGTCATGAATTCTGTGCTTACATATGGTATATTTAAGCTCAATTAAATTTGAAAGCACTGTGGGAAATATCATTGAAACGGTAGTGAAATGCATTATAGGAAAGAAAAACTTGAGGAAAGGACTTTACACCTGGCTGCTAACCTTTAGTAATGCTTGGGCGGCTTTTCAGTGGTTTTTGAGATGGGCATTCCTGTTTCAGGTGCCATTCAGAGTTCGGAGTATCCTGAGTTCAGCGTTTGACTGGGTTACACTGGTTTTCATATTTTTATTTTTAACCACATTACATTGAATGTTATAAATATGCCCTATAACTTTCAATACAATATATGATTTGATATTATGAGAAATAACTACAAAGTTCCCTTGTTGTTTGTTCTGTTGATTGTAATACACTGTGTGGCGTTTGTTAAACACCTAACCATCTGCAGTCTTTCCTGAGGGTAATTTCCTGCTTATACCTATTACCATTTTATCTATTCTGTTAAATGGGCAGCATATAAAGCCTGCTGTACAAATAGTAATACAATACCAGGGTATCATACACCTAGGATAGATGATTTTTTTGGTTTTGCCTTTTATTGTAGGATTATATTAGCAATTTTAGAAACTCCAATTTAGTTTGCTCTATTACTTAAAAGATCGTTCAAAACGTAATATTGGGCAGAAATTGATATATTTAGTATATGTCTTTTTTACCTGCAATATCTGGCAGTGCTTGGCAACTGTGATTCTGTTATTTAATTTGAAAGACAGCAAACATTTCTTACTTGTTTAATGTGACTTGGAGTTACTATTTTTTCTAATCCCATGTATTACATTGAAAGAGCCCCCACACCCCTCCCCCCCCAAAAAAAGAGCTGGAGAACATAGAGTAATTGACACTTTAGCATATCTCTTCTGGAGCAACTAGTCGTTTCAATGTTAATGTGAAGCATTATGGAAAAAAATGCTTCAAGGCTTTGAACTTTGGGGGATGCTTTTTGAACTTTTGAATGCTTTTTGGGAATGTGCACCATGACCTACATATCTGTGTATTCTATATGTGTTTGTGGACTCAAAATATGATTCCTTTATAACTCATGAATCTTCTAACCAAGATTCCTTAAGATAAAGGCTTTTCCAGTCATATACAGAAATATGAGTGTAACAAGATTAACTTGCATCTATGCTAATATTGCTCAGGATTCCCATCATATAAAAATTTACTCACCACCTCCATGGAAACTCATAGATTAAAATTATTGCAATGATGCCTAAGAATTGCAGAAAGTGATTCAAAATATTAACTTGTCTGCTCTAGCATTTCTAAAATCCAACCATGCAGGTTTATACAACTTTCTAGTTCTGACATCATGAGGCTCTTTCTTTTCTGAATCCTCTTCTTTTCCTTTTTAAATAAAATTGCTATCTTGATAACTGCCAGTGTAGGTTAAGGTCAAATTTGTCTAGCAAATCCTCAAATTCCATAGTTTTTCTTTCTCCTGTGGCCATTTCATGCTAGTTTTTGTCTCAAATCATTCATACTTTCAGACAATCACATTGATGAACAATATCATATATAATGTGCAGTAAAGTTTTTTTTTAATTTAAAACAGAAAGATGTGAACTAGAATATCTATAGAGAACAATAATTCAACATATAGGAAAACATGGAAAGCCCCTTGCATAGTACTCAACTTTGAAAATATGGAATAATTGTTAAACATTATCATTTGGCACTCTCCCTACGTATCCCTCTCAACATTTTAAGTAATAAACATAAGCGTTACAAGAAATGGAAGTTCCTCTTGAGTCAGAGAACTATAGGATTAGATCTCATATAATTCAGTTGTGTATGTCATACATTACTTATTTAAATTAGGATGAAATCCATGAGCAAAGGCGTAGGGGAGAAGAGGAAGAGGGGGAAGAACACCTCATTCTGTTAACTATTGACAGAGCCAGCCTCTGACCCACAGCAGCGGTCTTTTCTGTCCCCAGAATATTCAGCCATGTCAGGCCCCCGTGAACTCCATCCTGAACAATGTCTGAGTTTATCATGCATGTCATATTTTGCTATTTTATATGGTTATAGTCGTATTTCTCACCTGGGTTTTGATTATCTTTGGTATAAGCTACTGTATCTTGGCTCACCATTTATATTCAAGATCCTTTTTGCTGCAGATATATTCATCTAAATGCTACTAACTGGTTTCCATCGCTAGGATCACATAATTCTTTGCTGAAAATCCCTTAAGCACCTGAATTGGGTTTTGAGGTCATCTAGCAACATTCCCATTGTTATACCTGCCTGACTATTGCTCTATTTTCCTACCTGCTTTGCTGTGACCTGGACATTAGGTACACCTTTGAAAAAAAAAGAAGATTTTATTTATTTATTTCTAGGGACAGGGGAAGGGAGGGAGAGAGGGAGTGAAACATCAGTGTGTGGTTGCCTCTCACATACCCCCTACTGGGGACCTGGCCCGCAACCCAGGCATGTGCCCTGACTGGGAACTGAACTGGCGACCCTTTGGTTCATAGGCTGGTGCTCAATCCACTGAGCCACACCAGCCAGGGCTAGGCACACTCTTATCTACATTCATTTCTAAACATTTTTCAACACTCAGCTCAAAATCCACTTTATTCATAAAGCCTTTCTCCGTTTTCGAAAAGGCAAATGGAGCCCTTAGGCTGTTTTCAGAGATTTCCAGCTTGACCACTGCACTCTTTTCCCTGTCTAAAATGAGTTTAGAGATATGTTACATATGATCCTGTGTGTTTAACTGACCTTTCTTTATCGGATTATCCCAAGTGTAGAGACTGCCCTGTAGCAAACACATTAGGCTTCTCACCATAGCTCAAGTGCATTGACAGAAGCGTCAAGCTTGCCCTTAAACATATTTTTCATGGCTCGTAAATAAAACCTATGTTGACCTGTGATCAGGTGCATAGATCCAAAGTTAAGATGGCAAGTGTTAACCTTTCCCCATTTGTCTGCAGCTCCCTAATCGCCACTGCACTTCACATCAATTCTGTCTCCTATCTTTCTAAAGAATAGATAGGATTCCCAGATGCTTGGCAATAGGATTCTTCATGTTGGCAAGTGGGGCAGTGAAAATACAATCTTTGGGTCAACTGTTTTTCCATGTTCTTTTTTGTAAGGGTCAAGATATTCTCAGTAGTAACGTTACAGTTTGTAGTGTTCCATTGAATTTTTTTCCATAGTCTTCCTAACCTTTGATAGCTAAGTCACATCTGCTTGATCACCAGTTTATTAGCTCAGCCAAAGACATACAAGCCCTAAAGCCCAAGTTAGGATAAAACCACAAGTCTCAAGTCTCATTAGAAGATATCACTCGATTCACAGAGAGGCATGCTAGTCACAAGCTGCTAATGGAGACATCTCGTTACCCTTTTGTCTTTGTCCATGAAACAGCCTCTGCATCCTTTGCACACCACAAAGTGAGTGTTTTGAATCCCTGGTTAATTTTTCTAGATGGGAAATAATTTCAAGTAAGTAACCTCAAGTGTTCACATAAACAGCCAACCGAGATGACTGTGGAATTGGGAAACAGGTTGCGAAGTGGAGTCACTTAAAATGGCATGAAGTCCCTGGATAAGATCAAAGAAAGTTCCCTTTTCAGTTGCTACCACTTCTGAGATGGGAAATGGCATCTCGCTGTGGTCAGTACTCACTGTCTGCGCAAGCCTGAGACAGCTCTTATCTCTGCGTCCACAGTGCGAAAGCCTTTGAAGTAGACCCTTGTTACCCAAGAGAGTGCTGGAGCAGAGGAGGTGACAGGGACCATGGCAGCCCTGCCAGCGGCAGCTCTGCTTAGAGGTATTTCAGGATTATCTATAGACAGCATTATACATATTGGAAAAGTTGTTTCCGGCTCATGCTTCTGCACTGGAAAAGTATTTCTAACACTTTATTCCTAACTATATGTCCAGAGACTGGTTTATTAAAAAAAAAAAAAAAACAACTGGTATACAATTGCTTAAGAGCAGTTAAAAGTCCCCTTCACAAATACAGCTTAGAACTTCAGGTGTAAAAACTTATTTCCTCCTTTAGTCAGTTGTAGTTACTAAAAATACAATTCCCTTACGTTGGAGATTTTTACATGCAGTGTCCTAACTAAAATCCCTTCCTCCTCCTTCCTTCCTATGGGTCCATTGTGTGCTTTGCAGACTTTCCATGAAACTCACTCCATAACTTCATTCCCTATTCTTACGTGTTTATTCCTTAGAAATAGACACTGAACAAACAAATTGACATTGAACACATCTTAAGATAGCAACTGTACCTCTCATCTGTAGAGATAAAGGACTCCAGGCAAGAAATAGGAGACCTGGAGCTTTAACACTCATGAACAGAGAAGATAATGCCCTCCTAAAAGAAACCCTTTCAATACGTCCATCAAAAATCCATAGAAAAACATCGGCAACAAATACGGGTGATATCTATGTCACAGGTTTGGATTTTGTAGAAACCCAATACCTCTTAGATTTTTAGAACTAGAGGGAACTAGAACTTAGATTTTAGAACAAAAGGTTGGCCTGTATCAAATAGACCAACCTTTTCCCTTTACAGATGAGAGAACTGAGGCTCTGAGGGCAAGGGTTCACCGCCAGGCCCCATGGCTGGGGAGACCACCTCCCCGTCTGTCTCTCTCCCATTGTATTTCTCCTTTCAGCCCACCACAGTGTCTCTGGTAGAAGAGTGAGAGAATGGAAGGAAATGGTTGTGCCATAAAGGCATGTATATGCCTAAGCACTCATTGGGAAATGAGAAAGACAGAATAAAAAACATTTTTAAAAAGAGGAGAATGAAGATATAGTTAATAATTAAGCCAAGGTTGTAGTTATCCCAATCGTATTACTTTTTAAAAGAGTTTGTTTTAAAAGAAATAGAACAAGCCCTTATTGGGATTCATCACAGTCATACACAACCAGTGAAAACCTAGGAGGGCACTAGAGGTTAGAAACGACTTAGCCAGTTTTCCAGGAGATTCTTTTTCTCACGTAGAATTGCTCTCAAATGATTATTTTTCGGTGCTCATTGCCTACTTTGATTTTATGGCTTCCTTCTTTTCTTTGGAAATATCATTTCAATATCATTTGCCTTGAGGATCGAGCTAGGATACTTGGGAATCGGGTGCGCCCCACAGAAAACCTTTTGCATGGCATCTGATAAGGAGGCCACCAACTGCTATCTTAAGATGTGAAATCGCCTGGGAGTCTCCCAACATCACTTAGCAGGAGGCATATAACCAGGGCAAGGAACGTTACTGCATTTCTCATGAAGCAGCCAGGACCATTTTGTAACTGGAATATCATCTGGAAGGGACAGGCACCCAGGGTGCCTGAAATGTAAAGTGTATTCAGGCCTGCATGAACCCCCAGGGGAAGGAAGTATACAGTGCAGCTACTTGGATGCCTCATGAAGAGTCACTAGCCAGCTGAGCAGAGTGGGTGACATTTGGTTGCTGTGGGGTGTGGGCACATTACTCCAGGCAATCTGGCTTTTTCTCTCGTATTTATTTGGCAAACTCAGCCATTGCTCCTCACGACTCCCCCTCATATCTGAAGTAGTCATCCTGGGGTGAGAAGATGTGTTATGAATTTCACATAGTGTTGCTTACAGAGCTTTCCAGGGGAAACAGATCCTCCCGTAAAACACGACCAGGTCCAAGAGGAATGGACGGCAGCCCCACTCCGGCTTGGCCTGACTGACCTCCTGTCCTGGCTTCCTTGTGTTGCTGGGACCTTTGTATTTTTACATGAGCCCTAATCAAGTTGCAACCTCTTTAGATAGGGGAGAGAGAACACACCATGAGACAGAAGCTTCATTTTCCCCAAGAAGCTGAGAAGCTCTGAGGGTTAGAAGGAAGAAAGACATTCAGTCATCTTCTTTGTTTACTGCTTCTATTTAGGGTAAGGTCAGGGTTTCCTCATCCTGATAAGGGGTGGCAAGGAGAGTGCATATTCCCAGGAGACTTCTTGGTTTTTAGGTTTCTTTGTTCCTCCTGTGTCTGACCTGCTTAATTCAGGTCAAATTCAGGGAATTAGCTGGAAGGAATTCTCTGGTGCAACAGAGGTCAGAGGAGGGAAGAAGACACATGCGTGCAAGCACCCATACGCACACAAATGAGTGGGGGCTGTTTGTTCCCCGGTGTCACAGTCAGCCTTTCGATTTCCTTTGCGCTTGGACCCTAAGTAGGGCATGTGACTAGGACAAGGAGGTTACCGTTTGAAGGTGGTAGTGGAATGGGTTACATTTGTTCCATTTCCTATGCCCTTTACATTCATGAGATCATTATCATGAAAACGGATTTGTGCTGTGCCATTTCCTGTTCTTGCTACAATCTTTATCACGACAAGAAGGTGCCAGGTTTTAACACCCAGTACTATGGTTAACTGTTTGCAATTACTGCCGTGGAGTGTGACTTTCCCTCCCATACTGTGTTGTCTCCTCGAGGGGAAACGTGGGTGCTGTCTGGGTGTCTGCGTGGTGGTAAACTGAGTCTCCAAAATATCCGGGTGGGGAAGCACACCTTCGACCGAACCAATGGGAGGACTTCCACAAGTGGCTCTGACTTGCTCCTGGGGCCTCCTCATTGACTTCAGATGCCCACTCTCCTTATTCCCGGCTCTTCATAGCCCAAATGACACCCCAGTGACAGTCAGATTGTATAACTTAGGGGGCACGGCAGTGCAGTTTCCAATTATCATCAAAGAATTTCCCCAGCATTACCATGCTGAGACTTCAGGCTGTTGATATGGATTAGATCAAAAATAGAACATGGTATAATAAGAACCTTTGCTTCCTGGCATGGACTAGAATCAGAATAGCTAATAGTACAACACTTTCAAGCTCTTTCTCTCTCTCTCTTTAAAGTAGGTTTAGTTCTTGTGCAAGCTGCTGAACTGACAGCTCAGAATACTACGGGTAGAAAAATGATAAGCTTTTTCTCTTCGTTTTTCCCAGTATACCTTTGGCCTGCCCTGGAGGAAATGTCTCAAGAAGAGAGAGGTTAGTTCTTTCTCCAGATACTTTTAATCTTTGAATTCAGGAGTGGGAGTATTATCCAAGCTGCTTATTATGAAGAATGTATCAAGTCGTGGCTATGTGTTTCCTAAGATCAAAGCTAAAATTGACTAATCATTTCATATAGGCAACTGCAAAACCGCCGAGCTAGAGCCAGTTTTGAAATCACGTGCGTCTTTCTCATAAGTGAATTCCTGAGTGCTCCACGTGAGTTGCAATGAATTGTTTGTGGTTAAAGTTTTAAGAACTCAGCTTTTAGGAGGATAGGGTAGAGCATTTGCCTCATAATCAACACTTATGAAGAATTCAGTCATTGCTACTGATGACCAGCCTGTATTTCTTGATAGCAGAGTTCAGAGCAATGGGTCTGACTAGGAAAACCTAGACTTCCGCCATCGGCTGAGGGATAGTGGGGCATGCAAAGTCTTCCGAACCTTGGTAGAGGTCAACATGTCCGCCTTTCACTATATAGGACTTATCTAATATTCAATAACTTTCAGGGGAGGGACCATTGCACACGTCAGGGGGTTCTGAAATTCCTAAGATCCTATGCAATATTTTTTGTGAGCATATAAATGCTCTTTTTCTGTCCAGTGTACCTTCCTAGTTATTATCAAATTTTCAAGGAAATCTGTGACATGCCACAACCATTGACCCTCCTCCCCTTTTCCTGCCCAAGAGATTTAAACACAGAAGCCTACTTCAGGAAGCACTAGAGATGCCACCTTAGCCTAATTTGAATTAAGTATGATAATAAGAGGGCTTCAGGCAGATACCCCTGAAGGTGCACTGTGTCTCATCGTTTCTGAGTCACCTAGCCAGGATTTCCCTGCCCAGAGTGTTCTGTGTTCGCAACTACTTCTAAATCAGCCCATTCTGAATTCTGACATCTAATGCCCCACCCTCCTCCCCTTTCTCCTCTGTCCCAAAACACCTTGTATGCCCAATGCTGCCTCACTCTCTTTGCAGTTTTCATAGAATTATCATGCCTATGGGAATTACTATGCACATGTATTCAACTTGAATTTTCTCCTATTAAAAAAAGAATCCTGCATTTTAAGAGCCACTGCTTGAGACAGTAACGTCTCATCCCTCACTTTTCTCCACTCAGAAAACACTTAGAGAGAAAAGGGAGTAGATCACCAAGAACACAATGGTGTCCTCTTAAAAGTAAACTATTAGAGTGCAGCTGTAGTAATGTACATGTTCATCCACCAGCACCACCCCCTGTAAAGAAAGAAAGATTTCCCTTAATGAACACTACCATTTTAAAAAAGGGGAACAAAAAAAATCCAGTCTATAAGGGATTAATGTCCATAATAAAATATAACAATTCCATCCAAGAGATAGTCTGTGAGTGCCAATATAAACATAACCGCATTGCCTGCTCTGCTCTAGTTTGAGAGAGAGAGTGAGAGAGAGAGAGAGAGAGAGAGAGGGATTGAGAACGCAAGTTAAGGGGAACAGCTCCTCCGTTTCCATCTAATATTGTTCTGGGGAGTTCATAAGGTCGGGAACTTGACACTGGTTTCGAGTGGAAGCCAGTCAAGCAGGATTTCTTTGCCCTCTGGACAAATGGTTGGCCTACTTCAGGAATTTTGAATAATTATTGCTGTTCTCTTCAGCCAGGAGAAGTTTACCTTTCACAAAGAGAAGAGTTTGTGGCATGCATTTCATCCCATTTCCTGAGCACACAAAATCAGTTTTGCTCTCAAAGTTATAGTTCCTGGTTTATGAGTCTGAGAACTCTTTCATCTTCCCTTTCAGGGTCCTCATGAAAATGAAGCAGTCACAGTGCTGCTTAGAGAGGGACATGATGCCCAGCCCCCTCACTCCCCAGAAGGAAATTCCTTCACAAACACAAGGTAGTAAGAGCGTGCTGCTCTTCCTGCTACGTGCAATGTCCTTTTTCTCTAAGGGGCATGGAACAGCAACTTTGTACCTGCAACCGTGACACTCAAGAGATTGTCATCCTTGCTCTTTTCCCACTAGAACTACTCCGCTTAATTCCCTTACAGAACATCTTGCAGCAGCTGAACAATCTGTAGCGCCAGAGAGTAAGAAGTCAGTGGCCTGTACTGAGATCATTATTGTGATGAGACAAGCGGTTGAATAAACTAAAATTTTCCATAGCCAGGTTCTTGAACAAAAATAGCATCTAAGATTGTGTGAAGAGGATATAGTACTGGTAACCACTGGCTGAAACTGCGGGCAGCTCTCGTGTTCACCAGAAAAGCAAGGTTCCCTTCATTTTTAACTCCCTCTTACTATTCCTTGGTGATTTGTATTGTTTTGGAATCATTCTCCATCATGCATAACAAGTACTTTAACCATATGGGATTACCCATCTAAATTCCCAGGGAACAGAGAGTAGCTGTGAATATTTTTGTATGCTTGCTATATTATTGCTTTAATGCTGCCTCAGATTGCTAGAATAATTTTCACTAAGAACCTTCCAACAAGTGATGTCTCAGGAATTATTCTCCTTCTAATGAGAAGCCCATTCGCTCTGAGAGAGAATATATTATTGTTTCACAGGTGCTCTGTTGACTTAAATACACACACACATATACACTTTGATATAGCATAGAAAAATCTTGTATTGGTAATCTGTGTGGGTTTTTAAATTTGTGTGTGTGTGTGTATGTTTCATAACATCAGTCAATCCATGGAATTTAGTCTTTCAGCCCCAGTAAAAACAAACACAACACAAATCCCCCAAAATGTTTTTGCAACCTATGCAACTGACCCTGTGTCCGACCTAGCAGGCAAGAAGACCAGTGTTCTGCACAGAGTTCATTTCTCAATACTGTTGACTCGTGTTCGCTGAGTGCCTTATCATCATTTCAGTACCATAAAGGCTTTCTAGACTTCTTAAAATATAGCTTAACTCAGTGAACTCTTATGTAATTTGCTCTGGTGTCTTCCAACTGCAGATTTTCATGCGCATCTTGATATCACCATTTCACGGATGCAGTAAGCAACCAGAAAAGGTTAATGGCATTTACTTACTTACCAAGTGTTTTGAACTCCTTAGATAAAATTAAATATTCACAAAGATCATCAAATGAGTATTTAATTATGTAAGCAGGCCTAACTTTTGAGATGGGGCAGAGTTAAGTTGCTGGGTGAGCTGTGTTTCAGATTCTGATTCTTAGAGCATGTATGCTAGGCCATGTAAACTGAGGTGGTCTCGAACTGAGAAACCCTGATTTAGAAGCCTTCACTTTTTTTGCTCAAGAGAACCCAGATTTTTTTAAACACATTTTTAAAACCTGTGGTAACATCAGATCTACTCTCTTGACAGAGTTTTAACTGTACAATACAGCATTGTTGACTTTAGCTATTATTCTGTACAGATCTCCAGAATGTATTTATCTTGCAGCACCAACCTTGATCCCCTTTGACTAACAACTCACTATCCCCCCTTGCTCCAGAGCCTGGTAACCAGCACTCTACTCCCTGCTGCTATGAGTTTGACTATTTTATAATATTCATGTGAGTGGAATATTTGTCATGAAGTACTTGTCCTTCTGTGACTGGCTTATTTTGCTTAGCGTAATGTCCTCAAAGTTTATCTGTGTTATCCCATGCGGCAGGATTACCTTCTTTAAGGCTGAATAATATTCTATTTTATGGATATACCACATTTCCTTTATCCACTCATCTCTAGATGGACATTTAGGTTGTTACCACATCTTTTATACTATAAAAATGATGCAATGAACATAGAAGTGCAAATATCTCATGGAGATCCTTATTTCAATTATTTTAGGTAACTACCTGGAAGTGGGAATTACTGAATCACCTGCCTACTCCTGTTCCTGCTCCATTATGTTTCAAAGTCATCATCTCAATAAATATCTTGTACTTCTATCTTCACTTTAAAGTCTGCTTCCTGGATGACCTAACACACTTCTCTTGAGTCCCAAATTAATCCCTCTCTTACTATAACACCATTTCTTTGTTCTGCTCTGTAATCTGTGCACAAGAGTCATCTAAGGCTGTGGTTTCCACTTCCTTCTTCCTGCGTACTTGATAACCCCCATCTCTCTGTCTTCTATTACCATCATTACCCTGAAAAAGCTATCTCCACTGAAACGACCTATCTTCATGTGACAAATACAATGAATGCTATCCTGTCATCTTATTTTGTTTCTCAGTGAAATTTGACACATTTTTTAAAGGGGATGAAAAAGCTCCTTTTCCATTGCAAATTAGAGAGCAGTGTTGAGTTCTAGTTAAGAATATGTCCTTTGGAATTAGATTGAGTCCAAGATCTGCCACTTATGAGCTGTGTGAAGTTCGACAAAATAGTTCATTCATTGTGCCTCAGTTTCCCTGCCTGTAAAATTCTATAATAATGGCACCTAGCTCTTAAAATTTAAAGAAGTAAAATAGTTTAAGGCAATTAAAGCAGCACTTGACCAGGTCTCGCTAGGAATCATGGTTATTAATTCAATTACACATTCTTTGGTTTTTCTCCTACTTCTCACAATCTCTGTTTTTCTTTTTGCTGGTTTCTTCTTATAAATAAGGCCTGTCAATGTTGGAGGCTGTGCTTTCTCCTAACCTAGAGAATTTATATTTCACCCAGATGCCATTAGCCCCTAAATGGCATTAGCTTTGACCCATATCCAACAGTGTATTTGACATTTCTACTTGTATAGTATAAACATATCAAGTTTAACATATCAAAAATAGTACTCTTGATAATGCTTCATCTTGTCAAAATCTATACTAAGCTTCCCCTCACCCCCACCAATTTGTTTTCGCTTGTTCAAGTTGACTATCTAAGAGTTTATGATTCCTCCCCTTCCCTTCGTCTCTACTACCACCACCTTCATCTAAACCCCATTCCCTCTAGCCTGAATTATGGAAATAGCCACCAACCTAGACTCCTAAATTTTTGTCCCCCTCTGCAGCAGATTAAGCACACAATCGCCAAGTTTATTGTTTTAATATGTAGTAAAATTATGTCATTCTCCTCCTTAAAATCTTCTTTGGTTACTGATTGAATGTCAAATAAGATCTGAACATTCTCCTTTGGACTACATAACATGAGACAACCTGGTGCCTGCCTACTTCCCCCGTCTCCTTCCAGACTGGTTTATTCAGCATGCGCCCAGCCATACTGGTCTGCTCACTGGTCTCTGAACATGCTCAACTCTTATCTGTCTTGGGGTCTTGGGTTTTCTCCTCCCTCTCCACACACTGTCCTTTCTTGGCTCTTTTACCTGGCTGGTTGCTCAATGCAAATTTCAGGCTTTTGCTCAGAGAACACCCTCTCTAGACAACCCCCAACTCTGGACCAGCAATGTAAAGCAATATATACCACCCTGCATGGATTATTTGTCGGCATTTTCTAGCACTTTTGAAAATCTGAAATTGTTTTGGTTGTTTGTTTGCTTGTTTATTTTCTGTCATTTTGCATTGGAATTTAACCTTCTTCAAGGGATAGACCTTATCTGTCTTATTCACATCTATAGGCCCCCACCTAGGACAGTGCCCAATACACAGCAGACACTTAATAAATACTGGCTCAATTAATCAGTAACTGAATCGCAGCAGACAGTGAACATTACAGCAGAAGAGTGACATAACAATGATTAACAGCTTCGAGGGCCACCCTGGGTAATAGAATATAGGTACCCATCCCTTTCTGTCTGCACTAGAAATTGGAGAGGTCAGGCAGCAGAGCAAAATGATAATATTAAAAATCTAAACTAATATCCAAAAATTAAAATGTTAACATTTTTGTCATGGACTTCTAGATACAATTTAGGTTATGCTAAAGTTTACATAGATATTAGGGCGAGGGGAAGTTACCATTTGTTAAACATCTTTTATATGCCTAGAACTAAGGTGGATTTTCATATAAGTAAAAATACACCATATTTTGCTGTGTATAATGTGCACCCACATTTTTGTGTGCATTATACACAGGACTATTATACCCCCTACTATACCCATGGTACGTAATCATTACCCCCATGTATAATGTGCATCCTTATTTTTCCCTCAAAAATTTGGGCAACAAAGTGCACATTGTACATGGCAGTTTGTATTTGTACTTGTCTGAAAATGTTCTCTTTCTACTTTCATATTAGATTAAAAATAAGCTATAGTATTTATGTGTAAGTACACAGGAGAATTTTTACAATCTAATACTTTATGTTTTTTTAATTTATAAAATAATATTTGATAAATTCCTAAATGTGAAAATTAGCATCTTACAGTAAGAGCTTAGGAACCTATAGAGCCATTTTCCATTTAGGGGATAATACATTTTATATTTTAATACATTATAAATCAGAAATAAAATTATGCCATATTTCATTATAAGTAGAATACCTTCCAGAATATTTTTAGTGATTACATAAGGTAAAGGGAGGCATTTAGAAGATAAAAATGACAGCTACCATCTAAAAAATTTGCTCTATGGAGATGATTTGCTAAGTACTTTACCAATAGGACTTCAGTGAGGTAGCTGACTGTCCATTTTATAGTTTTTTAAAAAAACGAGGCTTTTTTTTTTAAAGTTGAGTAACTGGCCTAAATGTACTCAGTAATTACCTTAACTGAGTTTGAAGCCACGTCACTCTGACCTCAAAGCTCCTAACCACTGTTAAGGGCTGAATGTCCGTGTGTCCCCGAGTCCCAAAAATTACTATATTGAAGCCCTGGTGCCTCATGTGATGTATTCGGAAGGAGGGACTTTGGGACATAAGAATTTAGGTTTAGATTTGTTCATGAAGGTGGGACCCTCATGACGAGATGAGAGGCAAGAAGAAGACAGCCCTCCTTCCTCTCTCTGCACGTGCATGCACCAAGGAGAGGCCCCGTCAGTACACGAGCAGTAGGCGGCTCTCTGCCCACAGGCCAGGAATCAGACTTTCTCCGGGAACTGAATATGGGAGCTCCTTGATCTTGGACTACCCAGCCTCCAGAACGGTGAGAATTGCAGTTCTCTTGTTTATACCACCCAGTCTATGGTATCGTTGTGTCATCATAGCCCAAGCAGACCAAGGCCACCACATTGCTAGGCAGTTATTATGTTGGTTCTCCTCAATGAAAAGTCACCTTACTGAGAAAAGGTTGATTTCTTCACTGCTCCCGCTCTAACAAGAAAACCCACCAGGGATTTTTCTCTTGATTCAAATAACATTTTATTAGAAATTAAGTTATAAAAGTGTATGATGAGCTTTGTCACCAGAGAGACCTAGATCTCTCTCTGCAGGGTTGTGGTTGAAACTCTGTGGGGATCCTTTAGTGCATTAGACTACAGCTAACTCTCTGGGGTACCTTGCTTTCATGAGCACTAAAAATCAGCACGAGTATTGAAGGGGAGACTTGAAAGGCCCTCTGAGCTGACCCAGAGTGTGAATGTTCCTTGTCTATGCTCCCTAGTAGGAGATTTTTCTGATTTTCACTCATAGCCAGCAGCAACTGTACATGCTACAGAGGCGGTACTTGAAGCTCCCGGAGGGATGAAATGCTTCATCATCACTCAGCAACCACTTCGGCAGACTAAAGGGTGACATTGATTGGCTCTGAACAAGTGAGTAAGAGAAACAGTATCCAAATCTCAGGAGGAAAATATGATAGGTGGGGAAAAAAAGCAAGCCTCTTTTAGCCCAATCTTTAAATGTTTGAGACCCATAAAAGAAATGCAAATCCATTTGCAATGGGAAGCCCAGTCACTCAAATGAGGATTCCAACAAAGTCATCCTTAGAAAGTGACACATTAGTTATTTTATTCATTTATTCAATGTTCACCAAGCCCCCCTTGTGCACCAGGATACTGTTCTAGGCCCTAGAGATACAGCCTGAACAAAATGTCCCTCATCTGAAGGAGGAAGACAAATAAATAGATCTATCAAGGGGTGATAAGCAAGGCAGAAAAGTAAAGTGAAGTAAGAAACAGAGTGTACCATCAGGAGGGAAATGGATGCTGTTTCCACATTATGGTCAGGGAAGGAGGGCTGAATTGATAAGAGACCTGAAGAGAAGGAAGGGTCCAGCCCTCCTGGTATTTGTGGAAAGACACACTAGCAAGAGCAGGATGGTACATCAGCCTTTTGAAGACATCAGAGTGGCTGGAGAAGAGTGAAGCAAAGAGGCGATGTAAGGGGTAGTGTGGGGCCACGTCAGGCCTTACGTAATGGGTTGGGCTGGGTCTTAAGCTTTACTCTGAAAGGGATGGAGAATGATCGCGGGGTCTTGAGCACAGGAGGAACATGTCAGTGGGTCACAATTTCAAGAGGCTGCTCTGGATAAAATAATTTAGGAAGCAAAATGGAAGGAAGCTAAGGAATTGGTAGGAAGCTCCTCCAGTTCAAGAAAGAGTTGATAGTTTGAGCCCTTGTTGAGTGCAGGGCAGGTAATGAGAAATGGTCAAATCCAGACATATTTTGAAAGTAGAACTGACAGACTTTGCCAATAGCTTGGATATGGGGTGTGAGAGACCAACGGGGTGATTTAAGGATGATCGGGGGCCATCTATGGAGATCAGGAAAACTGGAGGAGAAATAATTTGATGGTCAAGAAATTGAGAGTTGTTCTGTAGAGCCATTGATTTTGAGCTAACATGAGATAGTCTAGTGGAGTAAATAATTGAGTACAGACATCTAAAGTTCAGGGGAAAGACCCATGCTGAAGATACAGTTTTGGGAGTTGTCCCAAATAAAGGACATCATTAAACACGGGCCTGGAGAGATCACTAAGGAAGTGAGGCTCCGTGGTAACAGGTCGCAGTTCATGGTATTCAGTGTGTGCCCGGCATTACTGTAAGTGCTTTACTTGTATCAGAATCACCCAATTCCCATCACTCTGTGAGGTAGATACCATTATTCACCCCTTGAGGAAACTGAGCCATGGAAAGGCACAAGCAGCCTGTCCCAGCTCACACAGCCAGGCAAGATGCAAACGCAGGCGGGTCTGTTGCAGGCCTCTGCAGAGAAGGCTTGGGTTACACATCCCCATTCTCAGACACTGTTGCTGCTTCGGTGCCTGCACTCTTCAGGGATGGTCTGAACAAGGGACAAAAACAAAGGTCAGAATTTCACCATTTAAATTCTAGGTTCATACAATCATTAACACTAGCACATTGGAGACTCCTACCCAGGTTCTTAGACACAAAGCATAGACACACAGAGACACAAAAAAACCCTCCTCTAAAAAGAGACAAACAACCACAAGGAAGGAATAATGATACTTTATATGTTATTTTATTTATTTACCCAGCTTTAGAGTGTAAAATGCATTCCAATTTTATAAATCTAAAAGGAGGAAAAAAGTGTGTGTCTTAGAATAGTGAAATACGATGTTTTAACTTTTTACAGCAATCTGGCTTATTTTGTTGACTGGGTTCTTAGCATTATTTTTCTAGAAATGCACTGTTAATATACTTTCTGTTATATTAAATCACAGTTCTTCCCCTTTAATAGGCATAACTTTCTTCCCTGGGAATAATATTCATTGAAGGCACCAGGAAAACCTTTATTTTTAACCCTTCAGTTATCATATATAGGATATTTCAGAGTGCTGTTCATAATAATAGCTGAGAATGGGCCTAAGAAATACAGTTTTCACACTGTATTCATTGAGGACAGGATCTTTAACTCATTCTCTTGGTATCTCTAATACAGTAGGGGCTCGGTAAATCTCCACTAGAACAGAAATTGAAGTTTAATGCTCATTCCTAGTGTTAAAATGTTACCATATATGTAACCAAAATGCATATATAAAGCTTTCCTTCTGTCACTTTCAATTTTGTTGATCTGTTTGTGAAAACAAACATTGTTCTTACTTGGTGAATCTGTGTGTTTATCAAGTTTTTCTGTCTCAGCCCACACTGGGCTTTTTCATGCTAGAGGAGTTGTTGCCACTGTCCAGAGGCAGCAAAGAGAGGCTACACTGAGTAGCTTAAGCAAAACAGTAGGGCATCCCTGGCCTGTATGGCTCAGTTGGGTGGGGTTTTGTCCCATTACCAAAAGATTGCTGGTTCGAATCCTGGTCAGGGCACATAGCTAACATAGCTAGGTCGTGGGTTCCAGCACCGGTCCCTGTGCATATAATCCCTGGTCCAGGCATGTACAGGGCCTGAAAAAACAATGTTTCTCTCTCTAAAAAGCAATGAAAAAATATCCTCAGGTGAGGATAAAAACAAACAAAAGAAAAAACAGCAGGGCAAACATTGGAGACATAATGCTAAGTGAAACAAGTCTAACATCAAAAGACAAATATTGTATGATTCCACATACACGAGGTACCTGGAATAGTCTAATTCATAGAGACAGAAAGTAGCATAGAGGAAACGCCTTGGCCAAGTAGTTCAGTTGGTTAGAGTGTCATCCTGATATACTAAGGTTGCAGGTTCAACCCCCCAGTCAGGGCATGTACAAGTACCAATGAGTACACTGAGTGGGACAACAAATTAATGTCTCTCTCTCTCTCTCTCTCTCAAGAAATGTTTAAATAATAATAATAATAATAATAATAATAATAAAGAAAGTAGCATGGTGGCATAGTGGTGGTTACTGGGGCTGAAAGGTGGGAGGAATAGTGAGTCACTATTTAATGGGTATGGAATTCCAGTTTGGGATGATGAGAAAGTCCTGGATAGACAGTGGTGATGACTGTACAACAATGTGAATATACATAAAGCTATGGAATTGTACATTTAAAATGGACCTTTTACACCATTTTCATGTTATACCTATTTTGTCCAACACACACACACACACACACACACACACACACACACACACACAGTAGGCCAGAGACGATGCTAAATTTTCTCCATTCTTTTTTAATTGGTTTCCACCAGAATGGGGAGATCCGGATCACGTATGGACAGATGGACGTGTGCCCACATTTACCACCACATCACACCTCTCGTCTCCAAGCAAATGACCCCCTCTCACCTCCTCCAAACCTGTCACCAGTCCTAAAATTTAGTTTTCCAGGTATCTCAACATGGAATTTACCAACCCAGTTTAGGTTTCTCTCTTCTCTCCGGACTTGCTGACTGACCCCTGAAACAGAGGCCTGGATCTGCTCCAGCCTGGGATAGGGAAGGGCTCCTTGGGACTCATCAGGCTCTTCCCTCCTGGGCGGTTCACCGTGAGACCGAAACACCTGCTGGGAGAACATGAGAGGCCGTTTGAGAAAGCCACAGAAACAGAGTTCCCTAGGGTTGGGGGTGAAATACTGGAAAATTTAGTAGCTCCCCCCATCTGTGGTTTTGTCTGCCGTCCTTTGAGTTACCCACGGTCAACTGAGATCTGGAAATATGAAATGGAAAATTCCAGAAATAAACAATTCAATAAATAATTCATAAGCTTGAAAGTGTGTGCCTTTCTGAGTAGCATGATGAAATCTTGCTCTGCCCCGCCCAGGACACGCATCCTCCCTCTGGCCAGCATATCCATGCTATGTCTGCTATCCACCCATTAGGCACTTAGGGGCCGATTCAGTTATCGGCTCAAATGTCGCAGTGCCACAGTGCTTGTGTTCAAGCCATCCATCTTTTACTTAATAATGGTCCCAAAGCACAAGACTAATGATGCTGGGCCCTGGCTGGATAGCTCAGTTGGCTAGAATGTTGTCCCAGGATGCCAAGGTTGTGGGTTCGATCTCCAGTCAGGGCATGTACAAGAATCAGCCAATGAATGCATGACTAAGTGGAACAACAAAATGAATGCTTCTCTCTCTCTCTTTCTCTCTCCCTTCTTTTCATTCTCCCTTTCTCTTTTTCTCCAAAATCAATTAAAAAAAAAAAAACAACTAATGACAATGGAAATTTGGGTATGCCAAAGAGAAGCCACAAAGTGCTACCTTTAAGTGAAAAGGTAAAGTTCTCAACTTAATAAAAAAAATTGTATGCCAAGGTTGCTAAAATTAGTAGTAAAATCTTCTATCCATGGAATTGTACATAAGTATAAAGAAATTTATGCCAGTTTCCTGTTGCACCTCCAACTGCAGAAGTGACAGCCACAGTGTGTGGTAAGGACTTAGTTAAGATGGAAAGGCATTCAATTTATGGCTGGAAAACATCAACCAAAAAATGCATTCAAACTGATGGCAGTGCATGGCATCAGAAAGCACGGAGCCTCCATGAAGACTTCAGCAGGGGTTAGCCTGAAACAAATGCCCACATTCACGTAATTTTCATTACGGTACATTGTTACAATTTTTCTATTTGATTATTGTTGTTGTTAATCTCTTACTGTGCTTAATTTACAAATTAAACTTGCTCATCATTATGTATGTATGAGAAAAAAGAGTACACATAGGGCTCAGCACTGTCCATGGTTTCAGGCATCCACAGGGGTTCTGAGAATGTATTCCCCGTGAATAGGGGGGGACTGCTGTACAGTTTCATGTCTTTTTCTCCCAGCGCTGGGGTGTATGAAAGGCACATAATCTTGAAGATCTGTGTGTAGACCCCGGCCCTGCCCCCAGTAACCACGTGATTGTATGCAAGTTATTTCTCTTAGAATACAGATTAGGAAGGATCTCAGCCCACTAATCTGTAACACTGGAAACACTAATACTTATTTTTCTCCTTGTTGTGAACACAGATCTACCATGCTGGACACAGAGTAGATACTCAAGGAATCCTAAGTTTCTTTCTTTTCCTTCATTACAATATCTTGCCATCATTAATGGGAGTTTGCATTTTGAGATTGTAAGTATGGGCAACCCATAGGTGGTTCACAAGCCAGCCTGTGTGGAGAGGGCTTTGCCTGTGACCCTGTGGCAGAAAAAATAAAAAACTGTAATTCTGAGGACTATATAATGGGAAAAAAGCAAATAGTTATTTAAAACCCAAATGTATAACTAACTTGGCTCCTATGGGGAGTAACAAAATGCAGCAATACAAATCAATCAATTATGTTCCCTTCCCTAAAGCATCTGATAGCACAGGGCTGGGGGCATGGCCAGAGTAGAGCAAAGTCTGGAATTTCAGTGCCTCTAGGTGCTACTGCTACAAGGAATGGGCAGGAGCATACAGCCCTTTGTTTAGGCTGCCGCATTGATGTGTCTTGGCTCTGCGAGGGTGGAGAGCGTAACTGCTCTGCACAGAGTGAGGGCAACAGAAACATTTGGGGAAGCTTTGAAGAAGAGGCACCATGAGGCTGACTACACACATTTCCTTGTTATCTCTAAAGCTTTAATTAAGAAGTCTAAACATTCACATGGCTAGTGTGAATGACGTTTTAGGGGGAAACCAAGGAGGAAGTTCTATATTCTGTCTCAGCAGTGACATGGTAGAATACAGACACAGCTCCTGGGGAGGCCAGCCTCATTCATAACAAATTTTAAAGCAGCAGTTCAGAGCCAGAGTTGACCAGCAAAAGCACACACCATCCCTACCCTCTCCTTATTTCCTCTTCCAAAATTCTGAGAAAATGATGAGGGATACTGAACGCCCATCGTCTATGGGATAAGGTTCAAGTCCATTCAATTTGAATTGCAAAAGACAGCACACTCTACTGATGCTTTGGATATTCTAGTAGTAATGGGCTGGGCTGGAGGTAGGAAGGGTGCCCATGTGAGTTCAGACACCATCGTATCCCCGGAGCACAACTCGGGGATGGCAAAGCAGGGATAGAGATCACGCTCCAGTCCTCTTCTTGCACAGGAAAGATCAAATCGTCTCTGGGAGAAGATTTTTTTTTCTGTTGAGTTTTTGTGATATACTTACACATAAAACATAATTCTAGTTTCTTAAAGGGAACTGGTTTTAAAAGAAAACATTCATCAACATTTCCTCTCAAAGTATTTGTCGGTTACCAAGATGTGTATTTGAGACCTGAGCTCCCAGTTTGGAGAAGAATAGAAATTCGTAACTTCATTAAAGACCCCATCTTACTTCTTGGAGACAGAGAGAAGGTGTGCAAGTGCACAGGCTTGCTTTTAGATGTAGTTCCAGTGTAAAAATAGGTAAATTACTCTTATTCACTGTGTTTTCTTTCACAATTGTGTTTTTCTTTTTTACTGCCTAGAAGCTGTTTCCTATGTTACAATTTCATCACTAACTGTTAATTTAAGACTAATAGACCCCTAGGTGGATATCTAATTTTGATAATATTTTTGTTTCAGCTCTTGGGGTTTTTTTCCCTTTTGTTTTTATAAGTTATCATCTTGCTATTAGTAAATTCAGCTGTATCTCAGTTATTTCCTCTATAGACTTACAGTAACTCATTTTTCCATTAGATAGCTTTGGAAAGAGAACAGTTGTGCTAAAGGCACTGTTTGGAATATGGTAGGGTCACAGGAAATACTTTGAAGGAAATACACATTGAATCCATCAGTGAATGAACTAGCAAACGTATTGAGAGTTGGCCATGTTTCAGAGGAACTGGTCAAATGCTTTCAGCTAATCATACATGCATAGGTAAAAGTTCCGCTCGAAGTCTATCAGCAACAGCAACGCACCTGTACACACAGACATGTACGCAGGCAGCTGTGTGTTTACATGAATGTTTATCTAGGGAACTAAAGGTTGAGATCTAAGAAAGGGAAAGGAAATTCTTCCTGTTCAAGGACCTTCCTCTTTATTTAGTGAGTACTGATTTATTGATGAATGAATGAACAAATGAATGAGTAAATGCTCAGCTCAGGCTACTGAGCTCTCTTGACTATCTGAAAGGAATTTTGTAAATGACTATAAAATTGAGGTTGATTTTTAATGGCACATTCTTTTTATCATTACTGTTTACTCACACAAGTAATGTTCAAGATTATATTTATGCAACTTTATTGGAGATCAAATGGGAGTTCTCTTTCCTCTCTCCCTCATTCCTTCCTTTCTCTCAACAAACTGTTTTCTTTATGAACCTGTGTATTTGTGATTAAATAATTATAGCACCCTGTCTAAATCTTGAACTCCCATTGTATTGTAAATGCGTAATGTTTCTTCATTTTTTTTAATTAGAAAAGGTATTATTCATAACACTAAAGGAACTATAATGGGTATTATTCATTGTATTACCTGAATAAAATGTTAAGGGTATTAATACCTAGAGATGACTGAGATTTCTACTAAAGTTTGTATTTTAAACCCTAAGTGGGCTTGGCCTTTTCTTGGCACCATGGACCTATACGCAATCAGACCATTTGCCATCGAGAAGAACAGGTACGTAACAGCAGAGGAGTGCAGAACTGCGGCTGGGTGGGCGCCTCAGCAGAAGATTCCAAGAAGCCTGTGATGCATAGGACTCTGATGTACACGGTCTGGCGCTCCCCATTTATCACATAACCTTTTATTACAAAAGCATAAGCATGTAATTCTGTAACATGACAATATCACCCTGAAGCACACCATTTTGGGTGAAATACTCAAATTAAAACAATAAATTACGGCACCCATAGTATTATCCTACCAACCACACTGAAACAGGCATTACTTCTGCCGGACCCTGTATATAAGAAACATAGGCTAGATTTCATTAACCAAATTAAACAAAAATCCTAAACACTTGCATTTATTTAAAGAGGATCAATCTGTGTTCAAAGTATTGGTGCAGATTAGTGTATTTTTAAAGGATGACACAAGAAAAGGTGTTGGCATTTGCAGGTTGGCTTGGGGCAAGTTCCAGGGACTGGCAGCTGAAGGGGAACTCTGATTCGTTCCTGGCTTCTTCACAGTTTTTGGAATTAAAACACTGACTAAATACCATGAGTAATATGGAAGTTCTCTGGAGGGTTAGTTAGTGGTCTGATGAACACTTATTTTCTGATCATTCAACTGGAAACATTACTGAGAAACTTTGCTGGGGCAGTTTCTTGGGAATGGGAGGGATATGCAGAGTCACTCTGCCTGGAACTTCATCCGTTTCTTCCTAAATCCTGGCAGAACAAATTCGACACTTGCTTGGTCACTGCTGTTGCCTTTTCACACTTGGGAAAGAGGGCCTAGTCCTGAAATAGCCACTCTCGCCATCCGTAACTCTGCAGTACGCCTTCTTCTTTTTCAGCGCTTCCCATTTCAAGTTCTGAATGTTCTACTCACAATATTTCTTTCAAAAAAGGTGAGACAGTGTATTATGCTGTTCTCTGAAAATACTCCTGACGTTTTGAGCTTATAGCTTGTAAAGAGTTCATTGATATTTTTTACATTCAATCCCTTGTAAAGACAGTGTTTGGATAAGGTTTTATCCTATGGGCTTTGGTGATTAATAATCACACAAATTATACTGGTATAACACTTGCTATTTATCATATTCCTCATCAGAGGAATGTAAAATACTTTGG